TTGAAGCGTGGATGATGTCTACAGTACAGTGTAACCACCTGGCAAGAGCTGCCCTTTTAAATTAAACCAAGTATGTTTTTTCATACCTCATACGCCAGCATATGAAAATTATGAAAATCAACATTTTGTGGGAATGTTTTTGAATTTTAAATGACGGCCTTGTTTTTGTCGCTTGAATCAATAGTTGATTTATCACTTCAACACCATTTTGCTTTTAGGGGAACACACACAGTGAAAATCAGTGTTAAAAATATGATCCCAGGCAGTTTTCAGAATCAACGTGTGATGTGTGCCGGAATATGTTTAAAGCATTGTGGCATTTAGTCACGGCTCTTCACCCACAAACCGGCTGTTGTTTTAAAGGCCCCCGAGGCAGAATATAACACTATTACTGGTTATATATGTATTGTGTGACAGAGCTTTAAACACGAGCTCTGCCAGAAGGGACTGTAAAAATTCCAACAGATTAAACAGAGGGAGGAGAGAAGAAAAACTCTGAAAGGGAATCCAATATCTGTGTCCGACCTCAGCGGCACAGCTCCTGTCTTCACGAAACCCAGCACTTGTTAAACTCTCCGGTCCTTTATTGAACAAAGGCTGGCGTGCTGGCGTCCAGCCGCTCTAAAAGGCTGTTGTGTCCACTCTCATCTGGTTGTTCAGTTAGGCCACCTGATGCTTAATGTCAAATTAGCACGTTCCTGTCTGCACTAAAATAGGATTTTGTGGATTTTGGAACTATTTTTTGAAAGCTGCAGGGGAATAAGGAGATATGTCTGTACCAAAGTCGTGCTATTTATTTTTCTTCAAGCATTGTCACTTGGGATTCTCTATACAAAATAACTGAAGTCAGGAGTGTCTTCATCTGGTTTGTGAAAATTCAGACCTTCACATTTAAGAGGATTTAAGTTAAGATCAGTAATTACATGTGGGGTTTGTTGCGTCCTCTATAGCATATCACATTCTGTATGTATACCTACACAACCCAGATTGAATTATAGCTGCTTGCCTGTTTGATGAGTGCAAAGGATTTTCTTTTCAGTCTGGGATATTTCTACAGATGTTCCTGTAGATGTAATGTGAAGGCTTGCTTAAATATTCAATAATATTTGGTTTGTTGAGTTGTATGGAAAATGTACCTTGGCCATAGTTCTAATTGTTGACACATTCCGGTTGTGCACCATTGCTATCAGAGACTCAGGAGTTGAGTGACCTAATTTCACGGAACAGTGACCGTAGTTCAACGCAGAACATAGAACGCATTTGCTTTCTCACAGTGCTCCTGCTAAACATCCACACTGTATTTGTCGACGAGAGCCCGACGGTGGAATGTTCAGGGTTCAGGAATATCCCATGTGCTTGCAATAAAATATAAAGAAAATGTGTTGTGTAACAAGATGAGAAGGGAGTGACGACTAAACGTTGCAGTTAAACTGTACGAAAGCCATGCTTAAAAGTTCTTAAATATTCTGCTGCCCGGTTCTTCATGTATAGAAATGAATCGGACGGATTTGACTTATTTAGTTAATTGTCTTAGCTTACAAGGTGGAGTGGGATTAATTTATTGAAGTAAACATTTTGTAACCTTGTATGAAATAAGGATATAAAATATCCTAAAAAAGGCTAAAATATAGAGGCAGCTATAAGGGCCAGACATCAAATGTCCTCGTGCTTTATAAGCAACTAATTTACATAATGAATAAATTAACCAACGAACACATTCACTAATGAGCTACATTCACTAATGAGGTTACTTGGAAAAATCTCATAAATCCTCCATCATTACCGGCACAAAAATACAGACGGAAAACAAATGTCAAATCCAAATATACCCTGATTAGCCGAAACATTATGACAACTCACAGGTGAAGCAAATAACATTGATCATCTCTTAACGTGGGTACATGTCAAGTTCTGGTTGAATTAGATGGTAAGCGAACGATCCGTTTGTGCAGTCAATGTGTAGGATGCTGGATGAATGGGCAAAAGTGCAAAATTGTTATGGCCAGACGGCTGTGTCAAAGCATCTCTGAAATGGTCAGGCTTGTGGGGCGCTCCAGGTAAGCAGTGTTAGTGATGTCACAGAAAATATGAATGATGTTGATGGGCGGAATGTGTCGCAATACACAAAGCATTGCATCGTGCCGTCTAGGGCAGCGTAAACGCAGAGCGCTCAGAGTGGCCATGATGACCCCGCGATGACCCTGCGATGACCCCATGATGTCCCCATTGCCGACAATCAGCACACAACTTTTGGAACTGGGTCTTGGAGCAGTGGAAAAAGATCCCCTGGTTCGAGTTTTCATTTTGCATCACATGTACAGCCGTGGGATTTGATGTCACCAGGATGCATTGTGGGAAGACAACAAGCCAGTGGATGGAGTGTAACGCTCTAAGCCATGTTCTACTGGGAAACCCTGGTTCTGGTCAGTGGATGGAGTGTAATGCTCTGAGCCATGTTCTACTGGGAAACCCTGGTTCTGGTCAGTGGATGGAGTGTAATGCTCTGAGCCATGTTCTACTGGGAAACCCTGGTTCTGGTCAGTGGATGGAGTGTAATGCTCTGAGCCATGTTCTACTGGGAAACCCTGGTTCTGGTCAGTGGATGGAGTGTAATGCTCTGAGCCATGTTCTACTGGGAAACCCTGGTTCTGGGCATTTTGACACATTCCATAAATCTAAACATTGTTGCTGACCAGGTACCCCCCTTCATGGCAGGGTTCTTTATGTTGCCCTGGCCTCCAAACGTCCCACATCTCCATCCGATCGAGCGTCTGTGGGGTGTGCTGGACCAACAACTCTGATCCATGGCGGCTCCACCTCGCAAAATACAGGACTGGAAGGATCTGCTGCCAGTGTCTTGGTGCCAGATACCAATACAGGACACCTTCAGGGGTCTTTGAGAGCCAATGCCTTGGCGGGTTGGTGCTGTCTTGTCGGCACGACGAAGACCAGCAGCGTATATATAATATACATCCGTGTTATTTACCAGATGCTCTTATCCAGAGCAATATGCACCCCCAACCGCCTAACAAGCTCTACTTGCTACTCGGACGTTTGCCAACGATGCTGCCAAGTGAGCGCGTCTCCACGACTGGTTCATTTATCGCCAAGCCTGGACCTCCCGACCCGGCCCAGGATGCCAGATCTAGTAGCATTAAGGACCTGTAACTGTACGGCTACAAAACTATGTCTCATATTTACCTCAGAGTTACACTGGTCAATCGCCTATATAGTGAGGAGACTCAGGTACAGTAGACCAGGATGGCGTGGTTCCTGGAGACGGCACCACCAGTTGGTGTTCTTTAGGAATAATATGCCGCTTAGGCCACAGGCCAAGATAATTATTTTTATTTTGCGTGAATCAGTGTGTAGGTGACGTGTTTAACGTTGGTTCACTGACTCAGAAAGCTCCATCATTTGTCATTTTGGTTATTTTATGGTCCATTTCCTCTCTGATTCCTGGCCTCTGTTGTGTGAGAAAGCACGTCTACGGGCGGAACATTTTGATTTGACTGTATCAGGGCCTGTTGCCTAAACATTGGCGTATTGAATGATAATGATTGTGCCTTGATTTATTTTATAGTTGAAGTGTAAAATGTGAGCGCTGAAAATCTCTTCAAGTGAATAATTCAAGCCTTTTTGTCCGCACGTCAAATAGCATAACAGCAGACTATTGCTTTTGGTTCGGTTTTCAAGGATTTATGTTCTAATAAACAAATTAAAAGAGCGTTTCAGCTTGGTTATCCGCTCACAGGATAATATACATGTTAAAGCAGTTGGCAGACTCAATGTCAGTAGCTGGCTTCATATTTACAATGTAGGGTACATATTGAGGAATGAAGTACTATAAATATTCACATGTCAGGTTCAATCTTGTCCATTTGATAGAAAAGCAGTTTTTTATATACATATATAAATATATGAATTGGTATGTGTGTTAAACGCATCATGTATAGCAATTCTGTAATTTAGCAGAATCTTTATCTTAAAAGAGCTGGATGGGACTACCTGCTACACGCGAAAGTCATGCGGTTTTGTGCCGCCAGGCGTGCATCTAGCTTATATTTGCATATTTTAGCAGCAGATGCTCTTATCAATCACTAGTGAGTACAGACATATCGAACCCACTGCTCTGATATTGCGAGTGTTCTGCCCCACCATCGAAGCTACACCAGAATAACAGGTTCATACTGTAGTAGACGCTTAATGTGTGCCGCTGTGGCCACTGTTTGTGTCCTCCGATCACTTTCAGGGCAGTGAGCTGGAATAACAAGTAGTGGAGATTAAGAAAACTGATAACTGTTAAATGAGTGAACTTAACATTGATTTGCTGTAAAAGTGGTCCAACATCCATTGATCGTGTCTCAGCGCCAGTTTTTCCACTTGTTTTTTGGAAACGGCCCGCGCTGGGTAGATTATTGCAGGTTTCGAGGAAAGGTGTGCCACTGGACTCACCTTCAGCAGAGAGTAAACCCAGGGCTGAATTCAATAGAATTTGCATTCAAGGGTTTAGGCCGAAGCTATTTTTCCAATGGTCAAATTAACTCACATGCTGCTCTCCAGTATTAAAACAATATCAACTGCTACTAGACTGGTTCTGGGTACTATATGAAAAACTACAATAACCACTGGATTTTCCCCAGAATACTTCCACTATTCCAGAGGGGGATTTGTTTTATTAGAGCCAGTGTGACACCATTGCTGCAATTTATGTTCAAGCGCTTTTTGTAACCACCAAGTGATGTTTAAAGTTAATGCAGATAGCCCTGTAGTAAACATGAAAAAACAAATGACCACCCAAAAAAATGTCTATGGTTTATATTTCAATGCGCATGCAATCCTAACCTGCGTTTTGGTTAGGTGTTGTGGAAGTTAAGATGCCATGATATTATTAATAAGGCTGCCTACCTTTTGTGTATACCAGCTAACAGAACTAAAATGACCCGATTTAAACAGACATTAGCATGTATATCACGATTAATTAAAAAAATCTAAACCTGGGACATGTTGGTAGCTCAGTGGTAGAGTGCATGCTTTGTGTGAATGACGTCCTGAGTTCAATCCCCAGCTTCTCCCCGAGTCGCTGTTGCAAATGAGAAATTGTTCTCAATCGGCCAACCTGGTAAAATAAAAAAATATTAAAAGTAGTACAAAATCTTCTCTGTTGACAGCGGCGTGTCCAAAACATGCTATTTTGAAGTACCATTTTTAATCACTTTCGCTAATAACGCTAAATGCTAATTAGGACTGAGCGGTTGGGCCTTAAACTACCAGCGTCAGTGCCGAGAACTCCAACATCATTGGTCTTAATGTGTGTAAACATTCCACTTTCAATTCTGACAAACTCATTGGCAATAAGCGGGAGCACTTAACTTAGTGTTCACACCCCTGACGAGATACAAAGCAGCGTAAGTGTCTCATCGTTAGCCGCCCATCGTACAGGATATAACACGTTCAAGTAACCTATTTAAATGCCAGAATGGCTCGGGACATGGCCGTTAAGTGTTTCTCCAGATTAGAAGACAAAATTCCATTAGCCAGAGTGTGTGTGCGTGTGTGTTCACATGTGTGTGAGTGTTGGTGGTGGGTGACCCTGCCTGCCTGCTGTTGGGCTCTGCTGGACCCGGGCAGGACTCTCCTCAGCTCCCAGCCGCTCGTCTAATGGCTTCAGGGGCTGATTTACTTGCTGTAATAAGGCCAGGAGGTCAAACGACTGTCAGGCAGCCTTCGGGGTGGCTCCTCTACGCCAGGCATCGACACACAGCTGTTCCAGGACGATTTACAGCCAGGACAGTGACAGGGCCCAATCAGCGTGCCGTAAATGTCGGCCCAGGGAGATTGAGCAGTAAGTAAAGCTGTGACAGGACACTGGGAGCCGGGTCGATAACTGTGAGGCCACCGGGAACTGTAAGCCCCCAGCATCCTGTACTGGACCCAGGAAAAAGTCAACATGAAGACCATAAATGGGTGTTATGTGTTTTTGGATACGTCGTTTATAGTAGATATATAGTAATGATCGCTCGATTGTTTTTGGGAGGGAAATATAGTGTATCTGGACCCCTTCAAATTATCCTCATTCTGTAGTGTTAATGAGATAACAGGTTATTGCAATAAAATATTTTGCCATCAAGCTACACCCAATACCTCATATTGACAAAGCAAAAACACATTTTTGAAATATTTGCTAAATTATCGAAACCCACCCTAAAATATCTGGTTCATATTTGAATATTTCTTTTTTGGTCGGGTGATGGAGGTACCTTGTTTTTTGGCAGACATAGTCAAGGCTATTCGTATAATTTTGGTCTCATCAGCCCGTATAATATTGTACACATGCTTTCAGTCCTTCTGCCTGCATATTATATGTATTTTAATCAGGAATGGCTTCTGTTCAGACACTTTACTATAAATGCCTGGTTGAAGGAGTGTTAATGAGGTGGTTGTCCTTCTGCTCTGGCAGGTTCTCCCATCCCTGCAAAAAAAACTCTGAAGCAATGTTTGAGTTGCCATTGAGTTCTTGTTCCCCAGGCCCTTCTTGCATGGTCATTTAGTTTGGCTGGACGGCCAGCTCTAGGACGGGATTAGTAGTTCCAAATTTCTTCCATTTCACTCGGTTCCTGGGAACAATCAATGGTATTGTATTTATTCACATTCTGTAGATTAGAGCCTAAACATCGCAGGTATACCAGAGTGTCTGTTGGGTCTATAACACAGTGTCAACAAAATGAAGTCTAAATAATTTCCAAGGAGACTGTTTTTGATGGCTTTCTCTTGTTTCTTTGTCATAAAACATAAATCTCAGGAGTCTGCACAAAAAAACATTTGAAAATAACAAAGAAAATGCTTTTATTTTCACATTGTAGATTTTACTTTGTTGAGCCACTTATTATATTATTGTTGCTTCTCTTCATAACATAGTCACATTTTCTCCAACTGGCTTTGCAATTTTTTGTTTGTTGACCAAACTGTCCGTAAGCGAGCGAAGAAAGAGCAGTTCTGCTCCGCTTAACGTTGTACTTTTGTCTCTCATTTATTCTTTCCACTCATCAGTCAAATCCCAACCCGCTGCAGCACATGCAAACAGCCTCACTATGTATGTCATCAGCAGTAACGGCGAAGCGGCCATTAAAATGCTGTATACAGAGGTTTATAAATTAGGCAATTTCCTTGATTATCGCAATCATTTACAAAATTGATTGCTCCAGTGAGTTATAGGCAGATTTCCCCAACGCTATTGACAGGGTTCACCTCCATAATAAACAGGCCGCTCCTCAATAAATTGAGATGTCACCACGCCGGGGCTTGTATGGCACGCAGAGACAACTCAAGGTCATGTATGCAGGGAAATAAATAATAATGGAGAGGCTAAACTGTTGACATTGAGCTCACACAGTCATCCGTGGTGTTTATTAACAAACACACACACACACACACACACACAGTTAGCACAACATGGCGTGTGTGATAGTGTGTGTGTTTGTGTGTGTGTGTGTAGGACAAGGAGGTAAGAGAGACTACGTGTGTGTAATGTAATGCATGTATAGGAAAGGGTGTGTGTGTGTGTTGTGCTGTCAAATCATGTCAAGATATTGACATGACTTGAAAATATACCATAGGGAAAACTGCCTAAGATGTTACTGTTTAGTTTGTAGACACACACTGTCTTTACTTTGCATTTGTTATGGGGGAAAAGGATGGAAATTGAATGAAAAGGAAGGCTTGAGACGGCATTAATCACTTTTATAGGGTGTTAACGGTAATTCTTACTCAGAGCTGTAACAAACCTGCCTTGTCTGTGTAGGATTAGAGTACAATGATGGCTATCAATCAAAGAGTGTTTTCTGGGCTGCCTTGTCGTAAATTACACTATTTAGAGTTCATTGGAGCTTTACACGTACCGTATTCCGAGAAGTGTGTTTTCCCAAGTTGGAGTGACATTGGAAAATGACGTCAGGAGACAAACATTTCAATTTCCTTCCCACAAAAGTTTTGTATGGTATAGCTTTAAAATATCGTACCCACATATCTGACAGATAAGACTCCATGAAAACATGACCTGTGTTTCCATCTATAGTACTGACAATGTGTTGAGTGGATAAAACTGGGCAATAAATCAGACTGGATCAGAAATATCATGGTAGCAATGATGTTTGTTTGTTTCTATCCAGAGAATCGTGCTCAATGATTGTCATTGATATTATCAACATCTTAATACCGTTGTAATTCCGTCAGTTAGAACCGTATTTACTTCAAATGGAAAGACTTTCTTTTTTTGTCAGGTTTCTTTATATAAGTTCATTAAGCATTCATCAAGCAAAATGAAGATGACTCAGCATAATGACGTAGATGTAGATCAAGATCTTTGAGAGTTGAAATACGAGGCTAAACCGTCCCGCTGTTTTGGTCCGTGGCTATCAGGCTATAACAGAAACGTTGGTCATCTGGAGAAACTGTGAGCAAGTCAGGGAACAAAGTCTTGTATCTCTTTTATCTCAATATCCATTGGCGGACATTACATTTTTTTTGTCTACTTCAAAGTCCTGTTATGATGCATATTCGTCATATCATATAGAACTACAGTGTTATATCACACGTTACATACTTATGCATATGTTATCAGTTACAACTTCATTCAGTTCTTTTCAATTTGGGGTCTGGACGAACAGAAAGAAATCTGGATACAAAATTGACACTGTCAGTACCACTGCATGTGTTTGTCATCAACCTAAAATATCAAGTTGAAATAACATGACCTGGAGCTCAGCAGCAATGATGGCGGGTTGGAATCCAGATCAATAAAAAACCTCCCCACTCCAAACATTAAAGCAAAGAAAGACAAAAAAACAAGATAAATATTACGTCTGTAAACATCGCTTGTATCACTTGCAAACAGCGTGCTGCTCCACAGGCCGGGACAATGAATGGACTGTCAGGACTTTTTCAAGTCGACATATTTTTTCTTCTTTCGTGGGGTTGGGCAGTGATGGGTTCAGTGGCTGCTGGGGCTTGTGATCACAACACAGACGCTGTTGATAAGAAGCTTCTCCCCTCCCACTATAGGCCAGGGGGGATCAAAAAGCACTGGGTTTTACAATGGCCCTTTTACTGTATGTTTAATAAATTCTGTCCCCTTAGGTTTAAACATTTTTGTATTATTTAAATTTTGTCAGATGTTTTGAGAATGTGCATTCTTCCACCTTTTCTCAGATGCAAGACCGTTCTGTGTTCGGGGATGTGTCATCGATCCCAAAATTGATTTATTTATTTTTGGGAACAGAGAGCAACCAGATCTGAGATTCCACTTAGATTTCCCCCGTTGTCTATTTACATACTCAAGTGCTCGCCACTTAGTCGTTTAGTTAACAAGTACAAATATTTGACCAGTTGGATAAAGTTCATTTTGATCAAAAGAAAAACTATTATTCGAATAAGGTACTTTGCAAATATTTGTAACACGAACGTGTATACAGCGACCAATCATCTCTTCTCCCCTTTCCAAAAGACGGACACGAACATTTAGATAAACCATCTGGAGAACCTGTCTTGTACTCGTGTAACAAACAGCTCCAGTGTAAGCAATGTCTCAAGTATTCTATCATGCTGTCAAAGCCGGAGGTGGTTCACCAGAAAAGCCACGAGGATAAGAATGGAAAGGACAAGGGAGAAGGATCACAGCCGACAAACTACATGTCAGGGATTCAATGGGGTCAGTGGGGTCTTGAAATCTCATCCATTCAGCTGGTAGCCAGTGACAAGGCTTGAATCTCCGTACTGCCTAGCTGCACGTCGAATGAACTGCGACGGGGATGAAGCTGTTTTATACATTTCAAAGAGTAGCACATTGTGCCCTACTGCAAATCCATGAAAAACCCCTGACAAAAATATCCTTGGAAATATAACGCTTTTGTATCTTATCATATTGCTTAGCTGGGTCCCCACATCCTGTAGTGTTTTACAAACAACAAATTGTAAGAAAATGTGATGCTAAAAGGGCTACTGTTTTACCTTTATTAGTTCATTAACTTCATTTTGAAATTTAAACAAGTATTTCAAAAGAACTGTTTATATGTATGAAA